TGCTTATATACAAACACAAGAAGTCTAAATACTAAAATGTGTGAACTAGTGTGCCTCGTTTGGAATGAGGATATTGATATAATAGGCATCACAGAAAGTCGGTGTAATGAGGCTAATTAATTGGACACACTCATACCAGAGCACAAAGTATATCAGAAGGCCAGACAGAACAGGTTGTGCTGGTGGGAGAGTGGCACTATATATGAAAGAAAACATAGGATCAAATAAAGTAAAAATTTTAAATGAACTTAACTGTACCATAGAATCTTTATGGATAATAATTCTATGCTCTAATAATATGAATATAGCAGTAGGAATATATTACTGACCACTTGACTAAGATAACGACAGTGACTATGAAATACTATGGGCGATAGAGAGGCTATAAAAGTTAAAAAAAATAATAATGTGGAATTTCAACTATCCCCATACTGACTGGGTACATGACACCTCAGGACGGGACACAGAGATAAAGTTTCTTGACACCTTAAATGACTGCTTCTTGGAGCAGCTGTTTCTGGAATCCACAATTCTTGATTTAGTCCAATGTGGAGTGCAGGATCTGGTCCAAGAGGTGAATATAGCTGGACTGCTTGGAAATAGTGACCATAATGTAATTAAATTTAACATCCCTGTGGTGGGAAAAACACCTCAGCAGCCCAGCACTGTGACATTTAATTTCATAAAGGGGAACGACACAAATATGAGGAGGCTAGTTAAACAGAAATTAAAAGGTACAGTGCTAAAAGTGAAATTCCTGCAAGCTGCATGGAAACTTTTCCAAGACACCATAACAGAGGCCCAACTTAAAAAACACAGTAAGAGAAGAAAAAAGTGCCACTATGACTTAAAAACCAAGTAAAAGAAGCAGTGAGAGACAAAACGTGTGCTTTAAAAAGTGGAAGTTAAATCCTAGTAATGAAAATAGAAAAGAATATAAACTCTGTCAAGTTAAGTGTAAAAATATAACTAGGAAGGCCAGAAAGGAGTTTGAAGAACAGCTAGCCAAAAACACAGAAAGTAATAGCAAAACTTTTAAAAGTACATCAGAAGCAGGAAGCCAGCTAAACAAGCAGTGGGCCACTACCAAAAGAGATGCTGAAGGAGCACTCCAGGACCACAAGGTCACTGCAGAGAAACTAAATGAATTTTTAGCATTGGTCTTCACGGCTGAGGATGAGAGAGAGATTTCCAACCCTGAGCCATTTTTTTTAGGTGACAAATATGAGGAATTGTCCCAGACTAAGGTGTCATTACAAGAGGTTTTGGAACAAATTGATAAACTAAACAGTTACAAGTCACCAGGACCAGATGGCATTCATCCAAGAGTTTGGAAAGAACTCAAATGTGAAATTGTAGAACTACCAACTGTGATTTGTAACCTATCCCCTAAATCAGCTTCTGTACCAAATGACTGGAGGGTAGCTAATATGACTCTAATCTTTAAAAAAGGCTCTAGAGGTGATCCTGGCAATTACAGACCAGTCAGTCTAATGTCAGTATTAGGCAAATTAGTTGAAACTATAGTAAAGAATAAAATTGTCAGACACAGAGATGAACATCATTTGTTGGGGGAAAGTCTACATGGTTTCTGTAAAGGGAAATCCTGCCTTACTAATCTACTAGAGTTCTTTGAAGGGGTCAACGAACATGTGATGTGGACAAGGGAGATCCAGTGGATATAGTGTACTTAGATTCCAGAAAGCCTTTGACAAGGTCCCTCACCAAAGGCTCTTAAGCAAAGGAAGCTGTCATGGGATAAGAGGGAAGGTCCTCTCATGGATTGATAACTGGTTAAAAGACAGGAAACAAAGGGTAGGAATAAATGGTCAGTTTTCAGAATGGAGAGAGGTAACTAGCGGTGTTCCACAGAGGTCCATACTGGGGCCAACCCTATTCATAAATGATCTGGAGAAAGGGGTAAACAGTGAGGTGGCAAAATTCGCAGATGATACTAGCCTGCTTAAGATAGTTGAGACCAAAACAGACTGAAAAGCTTCAAAAGGATCTCACAAAGTAGGTGACTGAGCAACAAAATTGCAAATGATTGTTAATGCTGATAAATACAAAGTAATGCACAATCTCAACTGTACATACTAAAGGATGGGGACTAAATTAGCTATTTCCACTCGAGAAAGATTGTGGATAGTTCTCTGAAAACATCCACTCGATGTGCAGCATCAGTCAAAAAAGCAAACAGAATGTTGGGAATCATTAAGAAAGAGATGGATAATAAAACAGAAACATCATAGTGCCTCCCTATATAACCATGGTACGATCATATCTTGAATACTGCACAAAGATATATTGGCATTGGAAAAAGTTCAGAAAAGGGCAACAAAAATGATTAGGGTTTTCAAATGGCTGTCATATGAAAAGATATTAAAAAGACTGGGACTTTTCAGCTAAGAAGAGAGGAGACTACAGGGGGATATGATAAAGGTCTATAAAATCATGACTGATGTGGGGGAAGTGAATAAGGAAAAGTTATTTACTTGTTCTCATAACATAAGAACTAGGGGTTACCAAATGAAATGAATAGGTAGCAGGTTTAAAATAGACAAAAGGAAGTTTTTCTTCATGCAATGCACAGTTATCCTGTGGAACTCCTTGCCAGAGGATGTTGTGAAGACCAGGACCTTAACAGGGCTCACAGAAGAGCTAGATAGATTCATGGAAGTTAGGTTCATCAAAGGCTATTAGCCAGGACAGGCAGGAATGGTGTCAGTAGCCTCTATTAGAGGCTGGGAAAGGGTGACAGGGGAGGGATCACGTGATGATTACCTGTTGTGTTCCCTTCCTCTGGGGCATCTGGTATTGGCCGCTGTTGGCAGCCAGAACAGTGGGCTAGATGGATCTTTGCTCTGACCCATTCTGGCTATTCTTATGTTCATATGTTTTCTCAACTGCTGAATTTGCAACTCAAAGCACACTGGAGGAAGGAACAAAAAGCCCTAAAGGACAAATCTGTTGCTTGGATTGCCAGGGGCAAGGATTACTAAGAATAAACTAAAGAGCCCTGTGGCTTATCCTGATTTGCCCTAAAGGACATATGCAGATGAGCTGAGAAGTGACTATCTGGGGAGCTGGCTCTGAGATGCCTATCCTCGCTTGAGATGGGTCGCTGCTCTTTGTGCCATAGTGTGCCTGGGATAGGAACTGCCAGCGTGGATTGTGAGCAGTGCAAAAGGGCTTTCAAGGCCTTGGGTATTGCTGGACATAGCATCTGTAGTGTCCTGGAAGACGGCTGGGTATCTCCTAGACTGCTCTGGTAGACACTCCCCCTGCTGCTCCTGGTGGCTGTAATTTCCAGCCAATGGGAACGGCGGGAGTGGGACCGGCAGGTGAGCCCAGCTAGTGGCAATGCTTGCAAATTCAGCCAGGGAGAAGGAGAGGGGGAACAGTAGCATGTGGCACTACTCCCCCCCCTCCTGCCAGGCAGAGCTGCCCCCGTTAGTCTGAGACCCTGGGCTGCAGCCACTAAAGCCACTTTCATAATCTGGTCCTTGCCAGCAGACAAGTCGGGTGCATCTAGACTGGCAAGATTTTGCGCAAAAGCAATTGCTGCCTGTCTACACTGGCCGCGAGTATTTGCGCAAGAGCCCTGACTGTGTACTGTACAAAATCAGTGGTTCCTGCGCAAATACTCCAACGCTCCCGCTCAGGGATACGCCCCCTTGCGCAAGGGGCCACTGTAGATAGCCAAGTTAATTTCTTGCACAAGAAAGCCCGATGGCTAAAATGGCCATTGGAGCTTTCTTGCGCAAGAGAGCATCTACACTGGCACTGATGCGTTTGTGCAAAAGCAAATCTTTTGTGCAAAGGCACATGCCAGTATAGACGCTCTCTTGCGCAAATACTTTTAACGGAAAAACTTTTCCATTAAAAGTACTTGTGTAAAATCATGCCAGTCTAGATGCAGCCGTCAAGTTTCACTCATTGGGCAAGACTCCCTCATTTGCATGCTCCATCGCTCTCACACAGATTCCTGCTTCTCTCACTCAGTCGGGGTAAACACATTTACTCAAATGCTGAAATGGGAAACTATCTAGCTGGTGTCTCAGCCACGGGGCTTAGAGTTAGGAGCCACTTCCCAAGCTTGTGCACTGTGGTACCCACAGAGACTGCAGGCACGAGTGATAGAAGGGCTTTGTGTGTACGTGTGAATACTCGAGAGCCAGAAAAACATGAATTTTCCACAAAAATGTACAGGTCTCGATCAAATGTTTGCAGGCTCTGTAAAATACTGTTCAAAATTTGAACCACACTGGACAAATTCATGGCCCTTCATTGTCTTGCTGACAATGACTCTTTTTGAAATATACACCGTGTCTCTGGGAACTCTCTTAGTTTGCACTACACAGAGAATTCACGTGCCCTAGACTTTAGTGTGAATAAGGACATTTACGTGCCACATGTGGAGTAATTAGCTGTGTACATTTAAAACCAGTGAAGTGCTGGCTGGATTAAAATCTGGACTACTGGATGTGGCCAAGGTCCAAAGAGGAGAATCCCTATCTTAAATAATGACTACCACACCACAAGGAAAGTCTCGCTCTTTGGCCTTGAATCTCATGCTTTGTGGCTGAAAATCTCACTTTTAAGGCTGGTCAGTTTGGACTCTCTGGACCAGTGCAATTGGAATTTGCATGGGTTGGTCCATTCTATTCCTCTGTGGTGAAGAGAAAGACCCCAGGCTCCTTGACCATCAATCCAGCGATCTTCCTGCGCACTACAAATGCTATGTCCAGACTCCAGCAACACTCAAGGCCTTGAAAGAACTTTGCACCCTGGCAGTTCTTATCCCACACCCACTATAGCACAGAGAGCAGGGGCCCTTCTCAGAGGAGGGCAGTTACCCTAGTTCTCTGGATGGTCACTTCTGAGCTCATCTGCATGTCATTGAACAGCGAGAACGAGAGCACGGCTTCCTTCCAGGCACTCCGAGAAGAGAGACTGTCAGTCAAACTCAAACCACAGATACCTGAAGTTTACGCAGAATCAAAGACCACTTCAGTTCTCTCAGAAGCTCGACACGTCCAACGCTTTATGCTAGGAAGGTGCTACATCCCCAGGCATGGTTGATTTTGTGAGTTTCCTTTTGATAAAATCATTAGGAGTGTCTATTTTATTTACAAAAGGCGGGGTGTGGGGGGGACAGGGAAATGTTTGAACCCTCAAGGGATTTTGGAGGGGGGCTTGTATTAGGAGAGACACTTAAGTCAGAAATGTTGTGTTATGTCAAGTTATCAGTATGATTTTTTCAAAAAGGCTAATTCTGAAAGTGAACAAATATTTAAAATCTTTATTTTCAGATAGATAGCACAATATAAGCACCCGGAGTAGAGGACTGAATCTAATGCTGATTTGGTTACACAGACAAGTCAATTAAATGCTGGAATTAACTTTTGAAATCGCAATCTAAAATTATTACAAAAGTGAATAAATGTATAAACCCTTTTATCCCTGGCATGGCTGGAAATATTAATATTCATGGACAGAAGAAAAATGCTCCTAAGTCATTTAATCTAAACAATAATGTTGAGAAGCTGATTTCTCTGAACAGAGATGTTCAAGTGATAGGCATAAATCTGAGAAAAAGTAAAAATTCTAACCTCTTTTTTTTACTGACTTGCCAAAACATTTCCTTTCAGGCTCTAATTTTCACTGTTTGTCATTAGCCAAAATCTGGGAGGACTTTTTGTTTTGCTTTTTGGAATGTTGGAGGGAAAATAGCTTACTCTTTCTGAATAATTATGAAATGAGAAATTAAATTTCTCAGCACTTAAGAAATGAATTTAGCTTATTTGCTGTAACTCAAAGGAGACGAATCTCTAAAGTTAAACCACAGTATTTAAAATGAGTCCCCTCTAGAAGGGACTCGCGTTAGCTATGGACAGTCTGAAAGCATCCTAACCAAACAGAGGCAGAACATAGCTTCAGCCCTTCTCACCCCTGCTTTGAGGCAGTGCCAGGACTGCACTTGGGGCGACTTTCACCGGGCTATTAAAGTCAGGGAGCCATCAGACTCGGAGGGTACTTAAGTGTGCTCAAAAAGTGGCAAGTCCAAGAGCACAAAGAGAGGCTGTGGCAGAGCTGGGAAGTGAACTCCAGGCTAACACACACATTCCTTGGCTGAGCCACCAACGGGCTTCTCTTTCCCATCCCCACGGCTCAAGTGCAGGGGAGGACAGGGTAGGGAAGGGTGCTAGACTCCAGTCTAATCTGGCTCCTTTTGGGAGTACTGCACTTCCGTGAGTCCGAGGAGATGAAATGCCAGCCGCTGCACCAGCACAATGGCTGAAGGAAAGTTCTCCTGAGGCACTGACATTGTCCACTTCTAGGGGGATAAGAAACCTTAACTGCGTGGCAGACAGGTAGCATGTGCTGTGCCAATGAGTCAGAGTCCCAGTGCCAGCAAAACTACCCGGGCTTTGATCTTCCTTGCAGCCCGTGCCTTGAAGGGTGTCTGCAGAAAAGTCACCACTGGGGCAAACAGGTGCCAGACCATTAGATACGCACATCGCTGTTAATCTCCTCTATATTTGAGAGAGTTTGTCTGTCTGCCTCCCAGACGGTAAGAGCTAGGACCCCCACATTTGGCATGCTGCTTCCTCTGGTCACGACTTAAAGCAAGATAACAGTTCGGTTGTGCCAGGACAATGGGATGTGCCTAGAATGAGACTGTTTCTCATAAAACCGTACAGAAGGCAGGTGAAAGGAGCTGGCCGGGGACCCCTTACCCCTATCTGGGACTGTCTCAGACCCAAACCTCCCACCCCCAGGCACCTTTTAAGGATGGTGGGGGGACTAAAGCCTCCTCCCCCCTCCCAATCGTACAGGGGGCATTGCTGGATGTTCACCTCCCCAGGGAGAGAAAGGGAAAGTGTACAGTTTGCTGCATTCCTTACTCGGGCTGGGAAACGCAGGGGGCAGACAAACCTGGACCTGTCCCAGGTGAGGGACATAGAACCCTCCCCCGGCTGTGCCCACAGGATCTGCAGTGGCCATGGAGAGGCACTTCTCACCTGGCCCCAATCTGCTGGGGCTAAGCGCGCACACTAAACCCCTCATCCGCAGCCCCACCCCAGAGCAACGATTTCAATGAAGCATGCACATTCTCATTCCCTTTTCCAAAAACAAACGTTAATGGAGTTAAAGACTCAAGCAGCATTGGGTAGATCTAGTATCCATAAATAGGTACTTCTGCAAGAACACACGGGCTTGTTTATCCCAGTGCAGCAGCGCCAGTACACTGCCAGACAGGGCATTCGCTCAGCAGCTGTGTTCACTCAGACAGAGCTGGGTCCTGCCGGGAGGGCAGAGGGCTGGACTCGATGGCTCTCGAGGTCCCTTCCAGTCCTAGCGTTCTAGGATTCTGTGCACTTGGGGATACAGGGAAAGTGATGTGGGCTCCTTATCAGTTGAGACAAGCTCTCGCCTGGGCTCTGGGGAAGGAGTATGCACATCCCTCAGCAAGGACAGACCGCTAGGAATGAACTCAACCCGTGGGAGACAGCAGAGAGACCCGCTGATGTAGGGCGGGTGTGAGGCTGTGTCGAGACAATTACAGTTCCAGCCCAGGGCATTGTGCAGGGTGGCTGGAGGCTCAGGGGTTATGCAGTTAGAGAGGGACATTGCCTCAGTCGCTGGACCAGCTGTGCAAGTGGGGAACCATCCAGGCCCCTGTGTTATGACTCTGCTCTCTCAAAGAGCAGGGTGACGCAACGGAATTAAGGGTACGGGGCTGGGATGCAAAAGGCAGTGTCAAGCAGCATCCTGAAGGGGGAGCTCCTGGCTCCAGTGTACAGGCTACTGCTCTTGCAGATACAGGCATCAGCCCATCAGTAACAATCACTTCCCTTAAGTTGCCACTTGGCTGAAGGAGCAAGTTAAATCCCTGCGACCTGAGCCATCAAAGTCAGTGCACATGTTATGACTCCTGGGGACCACCCCATGTGCCCAAGATCACCAGCCAGAGAGAAAAACAAAGATCTGAGGCCAGATTTCCTAGGTTTTCTGTGCCCAGCAGTTCCCAGTAGGGAGAGAGAAAAGGGGACAGCCAGTGGGGGAGGAACTGCCTGGCGGTGGACACAGAATTAGGGGGACGCTCCCCAGATCTCAACAGCAGATGGAGCAATGGGGGAGAAGTTTGTCCTGCTCTGGCTGAGAGCTGCTGGGTGCCAACTTCTTCTTGTGCCTATAGAAAATATCACCGCGCTTATGCAAACGCACGGCAACAGCGCCCATTATGCCCTGCACTGCCGGGGGCGTGCCGGAGTGCACACAAGTGGAGAGTGTTTAGCTGCACCAAGAGAAAGGGCTTTTCACCCACCTCTACAACCTGCATTGCTATTGGGCAGAACTGTCTCGCCTTTTGAAAAAAATCCCATTCCAGACCTGAACCAAAAGCGGCTATTTCAACATTTCTTATTAAACAAATTAGGACAAAATGTCTATTTGGGACCTTCAGCATGGTTTGTATTATATTACAGCACTAAATATTATATACCTATCCTATTTGAATACAAAAAGCAACACAAAATATAAAGATTTTTTTCAAAAATAATTCATGCAAATTGGTAGGTCCCCTATAACACTGCCAACCAGATTTTTCAGTCTAGTTGGTGGTGCTGACCAGAGCCACTAGAGTCCTTTTTCAACCAGGCATTCTGGTCAAACACTGGGGCTAGTCTAGACTGCATCCCTCTGTCAACAGAGGGATGCAAATCAAGCATGTTGAAATTGCTAATGAAGCAGAGATTTAAATGTCCCATGCTTCATTAGCATAAACATGGCCACCACTTTTTTTCAAAATGGAGTTTTTCGGAAAAAAAAAGAACGGCAGTCTAGACGTGGATCTGTCGAAAATAAACCGTTTTTCGAAAGATCCCCTAAACCTCATTTTTTGAGGAATACAGGATCTTTCAAAAAAGGGTTTATTTTCATCTAGACTGCCACGGGGTTTTTTTCAAAAAAACTCCATTTAAACAAAAAAGTGGCGGCCATGTTTATGCTAATGAAGCACGGGATATTTAAATCCCTGCTTCATTAGCAATTTCGATGTGCCTAATCTACATCTCTCTGTCGACAGAGAGGTGAAGTCTATACACACCCTGGGAGGAGATGATTTGCCCACGGTCTAGCAGAAAGCCAATGGCAGGCTAGAAACAGAGCCTAGGAGTCCTGCTCCCAGCCCACCATCTGATCAATGAAGTTAAATGCTGGGTAAAGCAATGCTGGGTAAAGATTAAGTGGGACTGGTACATAAAAGCACTGCAGATTTCACCTTTGCCCATTGTACCCTGGGAATAAGTTGCAGTATCCCAAAGTTTCTACCCCTTGGGGACCAATTGCAGAGAAGAGAGCTACTGCAGGCAGCCTCAGACATCCCAGCCAGGAGCAGAGTAACCGAGATGAGCAACATGAGAATAGCCCTTTGATTTTCACCTGTCCCCTGGCTCTCTAGGATGCATATATCCTCAGTGGAGAAGAGGCCTTTGACCTGCTGGAGAACATTAGCTTCTCCTCCGACTACTACAATGGGAGTGACACCTGCTGTTCAGTGCCGCCCTGCACCTCCAAGAGTATCCAGGCCTTTGACAGGGTCTTCCTGCCAGTTTTCTACAGCCTGCTCTTCCCACTAGGGCTGTGCGGGAACTGCATGGTGATGGCTGTGCTGCTGCAGTGCAAGAGGTCCCTGGCTGGGACTGACGTCTTCATCCTCAACCTGGCGCTCGCTGATGTGCTGCTGGTAGTGACACTCCCTTTCTGGGCAGTGCAGGCTGTGAATGGCTGGGTTTTCGGCACTGGCACCTGCAAGCTGGTTGGCTCCATCTTCAAGATCAATTTCTACTCCAGCATCTTCTTCCTGGTGTGCATCAGCTTTGACCGGTACCTCTCCATCGTCCATGCTGTGCATATGTACAAGAGGAACAAGTCACATCTGATGGTGGCCAGCTGCCTGGTGGTGTGGGGCATCTGTGTCCTCTTGACAATGCCGGATTTCCTATACCTAGAAGTCAAGCAGGACTATCGCCTCAACATCACTTTGTGCTCCCACAACTTCTCCTCCAACACCTCCCTACGCTGGAAAACAAGCCTGCGCATCTGCTACCACATGCTGGGTTTCTTCCTGCCCCTGGTAGCCATGCTGTATTGCTACACCTGCATTGTCCGCACTCTGCTGCGCTCCCATGGCTTCCACAAGCACAAGGCCATGCGGGTCATCCTCATAGTGGTGGCTGTTTTCTTCCTGTGCTGGACACCCTACCACCTGGCCCTGGTAGCAAACACCCTGATTGACTTGCAGGTGGTGGGGCGGGACTGTGACAGGGAGGCCGTGCTGGACATCATCTTGTCTATCACTGCCAGCCTGGGCTACTTCCACTGCTGCCTCAACCCCTTGCTCTATGCATTTGTTGGCATCAAATTCCGCAACAAATTCCTGGAGTTGCTGGGCCACATAGGCTGCGTGAGCCACGACTTCCTGCACAGACACGTCCAGACACCGAGCCAGCGCAAGGACTCCACCTGGTCAGAGACCACCGAAGCCTCCTACTCAGGGCTTTAGGGGGGAGCCTGGGCAGCAGGGGGCAACCCCTCCCCAAAGGGTGTGGGGGGTGAAATGCTCCCCAAAGGGGCGGAGGAGACAAGCAGTCCATACAGTCATAGCCAGACAGACACCTGCAGTTTCACAGCCTCTTGTGCGGGAGTTGCATGACTGAGACTGAACTGGAAAGAAAGAGCAGCAGATTTCTGAGCGCCTGGCATAATCGCTGACTCTCTGCAGCTTGTGGGTGCAGGTGCCAGAGATTGTACACGTGGTTTCCTGGAAGATCATGGGTCCATCCCTTCCCCTAAGTCAGTTGCCAGGTGCTGAGCTGTTTCAGTCAGGCTACGTCTAGGTGTCCCGGAACGTCTCTGCCACATCCAGGGAACACGTTTGCTCTTCTGCTTTCTGTCGCGGAAGAGAAAACGCGCTCTTTCGGTGCTGAGCTGTTTCAGTCAGGCTACGTCTAGGTGTCCCGGAACGTCTCTGCCACATCCAGGGAACACGTTTGCTCTTCTGCTTTCTGTCGCGGAAGAGAAAACGCGCTCTTTCGGGGCAGGGCCAGCTTGAGCCATTCCTGCGCCCTGGGCAGCAGGCACGCCCCGCCCCTCGGCACCCC